TTTCAATATATATATTTTTTTTCTATCAATACTACTTGTTAAGACACATTTACCCTATATCCTTCACAAGTAGTATGTGCTCTCACCTTTTTAGTAGGATTTCCCCTTAGGAATTAAATATACTATTTTCCCTTTTCCTCTACTGACTTTCAAAGAAAACATATAGGAATTGATTTACTAAAACTTGAGAATGCAATATCTGGTATAGCTGTACATGGTAGTAAATCAGCTTCTAACTTTAGCTTGTTGAATTAAAGTGGAACTTTAGTCAGAAAATTAAGTCCTGCTAGATCACTTCTGATTGTTCCCTTTTACAGGTATAGCCATGTAAAACACTAAAAATAAGTGTCTATCCTGTTTAAAATCCAGTAATACACTGTCTCACCCTGCTCTGTTATGCTCAGCTGCTCTCCATTTTTAGGCACTGCCGAATTTGTAGAGGCCAATCTGCTGACAGCCTTAAAGCAAAATTAAAACCTCCTATGCTTTACAGCCAAGGACGCTGCTGCTGTTTGATCTGCAACTACCATGGTGCTGCACATGAGATCAGTTATGATACCAGCCATTTGATGATTTGACAGTTTGGTTGAGGACACAAGCAGATGTGACACTTAGCAATTCAGACATTCCAGGAATGTAACTGTGTTTTTTAACCGTTAAATTGATGGGTGTAGTTCCACTTTATGATTTACTGCTGTTCAGGGGCTTTGGGCTTCAGCAAAATGGCAGCCTCCAGCAAAACGAAAAATGAACAATGCTGGGGCAATTTACAACACACGCTCATTTTGGTAGCATGGTCATTAATGTGGAATGTATGTTCCTTGCTGGAGAACATTTTTTTATCAAATTGTTATGGGTAAAGTTCGGGGTTAGGCTTTGACAAAAAAACTTGGAAGCTGATTGGTTTCTGTGCAGAGCTACACCAAATTTTGTGCACTCCAGTTTTAGTATATAAACCCCATAACTCCCTTATAGATCTTTCTTTAACATCTTGCTTATTAAAACCTTTCAACAATAAAAATCACTCACATTTGTAGGTGCACTGTCACCTGTGCACTGTAGATTACATACAGTCTTGAGCCAGGTCCTAACAGTCGCTCACCACTGTGTCTCCGTGTGTATCCTTCATTTCCTCTGCTAGCGTACTGACGTCACCAGGGGCGGACTGACCATTCGAGCACTCGGGCACTGCCTGAGGCCTCGGGGTCAGTAGGGGGCCCCATGAAATGCCGCTGGTACCTTTTTTATAGGCTTTTTTGAGTGTGGGCAAGGACACAGGGACCCCATGATTCCCTATTGCCCGGGGGCCCCATGAGTTGTCAGTCCACCCCTGGACTTCACTGTTTCTCTGTCCTTTGCCTTACGTCATTGGACTTCCTAAAGGGTAACCTTCCATGCCTTCTTCTGCACTCTGCTTATGAAGTAAAGAATGGAAGCACCACTGTTCTGGTAAGATCCAGAATAAGATGGTATTTAAACTCATCAATGCCTTTTGGTGGTTGCAATGGCCCCCCTTTTTCAGGACTATGAACAAATTGCTGTCTGGAATAAAATCTGAGCTGGGCTAAGGTATTTATCTGCAGCCTCCTTCCTCTAATGATGTCTACGTAGAAGAAATGCATTGTGGGGCTTGGTTTGCAATGTCATCATGCATGTCGGTGGAACTCCAAGTAGTGCTGTTATTGTGTGCATGTACTGGTCTTTCATCTCTCTATGAGAGTGTAATTTTTTAAAAATAAATGTAACTGTGTTTTAAATACTAAACTATGGGATTTGCTCTTTTATTCTTTTTATACCTCGTGTGAGTTTGATGTAGAACACTGCATAATGAAGTTACTGGAAGACATTATAGTTGTGGGACAGCCAGGTGCATTGAGCATTTTGAGAATAGTATTTAGTAAGGAGCCTTTGAGCATTGGTGGGACACCTGTGGAGCTCACATTTATTTGTCGTGTTTTATTGCTGGTACCATTTTCTCATCGCAAGATTCTTATCTCCAGATTTGATTGCAAGATTCTGAAGTTGGAAATACACTTTCTTTTTACATTTTTACCCCTTCCACCCTGGCTTCACTGATCTCTGTTACCTTCACACGTTACACTGCCTGAAACTAATTCATCATCCAGTAAGTAATTAACCATTGACTTTTGGTCACTATTGACTAGAGTCACTATTTGTAGTTTGTCATATATCTGTTGTGTTCTCCATAACAAAACTGCTTCTGCACGGTTGTAACTATCTAAAGCCAATTTGTCTCAGTTTCTAAAAGCAAAATCAATGGTTGCAACTGAAACGCTACTGCATGACATTTCAGGTGTGAATGTACTGTACATGGTTTGTGCTTACTTCATATCCAAACATCATTTATCTCCTTCAACTCATGGAAACTCACAATAAATGGTTTGTGGGTGGCAAACCATGTTACAGCCATTGGTTGACCAGGGGGGGCGGACTGACCATTTGGAAATTCGGCCACTGCCCGAGGGCCGGGGGTTAGTAAGGGGCCCCATGAGATGCCCCTGGTACCTTTTTCATAGGCTTTTTTGAGTTTGGGCAAGGACACAGGGGCCCCATGATCCCCTATTGCCTGAGGGACCCATGAGTTGTCAGTCCACCCCTGTGGTTGACCATTACCCAAACTGTAGCATCTGCACCTGAGTTTTCCTTAATTTGATGTTCAATTTACCCCTTATAGTGTATATTATCCAACCACCAACTAACAGTGACCAGTTTTATTCCTTTATTTTCATTTGGTGTTACTGTATGTACACTTTCTGTTGTAGGATGACAACACTCGCTCAAGCAAAACTGTCATTCTACGACAGGAAGTCTTTTAGAACAAAATGTCTCTCCTGTTCTTCATAGCATAGTGTTGTTCTGTAGTCCACAAAGACAGCTGACAAGCATGGTTTTAACAGACCAAAAGGGGACAAGTAAAAACAGGTAAATTGTATACTCACACTTTAATTTGTCCGTATATTCTTTTACATTAATATTATCTCTGTTTTAATTATAACCTATTCTATTTCATGTTCCACTAAGAAAGAAAAACAGGCTTTGTGAAACAAATATGAAATACTAGGCATGTATAGTGACACCACAACTCGTCACCACCGAACATGTGCCAATAAATCCACAAATAGGACCAGCGCTATATACTTGGTGGACTAGTATAATGTAGCCCCCACCACACTGTGCTGCTAGCAGTCCACTGCTGCTAGCAGTCTATAAGCTGCGCATTGGTTGGAACAGGGGTGTCCACAGGTCCAATATGATACTGGAGATCTCGCTTCCATACAAATCCAAAAAGTGTAATTTACTGAATAACCATACTAAAAAGGACGCATTCATGAATAAAAAAGCAAAATAAAAAAAGTAGGTCACATCCAAGCCTCTGTACATAAATCATAACTCAGCACTTGTTGTGAAGGGGGTCATAGAGACATACAATATGTATACATTACTTACAGTTTTTAATGTATTTTTTACTTTAGTATTGCATTTTTTCAACTATATGCCTTTAAATAATTGTGAACAGCACTTGATGTGATGTTTGATGGGTCATCAGCCAGCCCCTCCTTCTCCCCTTGTAACCTGTTAGTAGGTATATATTGATTCTACCCCCTCACCTAATTGTATTTGATAAGGAATCCAGGAGTTTTGAAATGCGTTATCCTATCAGCAAGAGAGCGCCCCATGGTATACTGCTCCTCTGGCATAGCCGCCAGGATGGCAGCATCGTCATTTCTGGTCCGTTGCCCGGCCGACAACATTACTTTTGAGTCCACCACTTCCGGGTCCATATGGTGAGGTCATCCCTTTAGTCTTTCTTCTGGTGCTGAGCCTTCACTAGATCTAGGCACACCTGTGGAACATCAGAGTTGTCATTCGCTTCCTCCAGGAGTTTCACTGGCCGGTATGTTTTTCTGTATGACCCCTTTTACAACATGTCCTGGGTTATGATCAGGGGTGGACTGACAACTCATGGGGCCCCCAGGCAGTAAGGGATCATGGGGCCCCTGTGTCCTCGCCCACACTCAAACCTCAGTCCGCCCCTGGTTATGATCTATGTACAGAGGTTTTGGATGTGACCTGTTTTTTTTTTATTTGTGACTGTGTCCTTTTTAGCATGGTTATTCAATAAATTACACTTTTTGGATTTGTCTGGAACCAAGATCTCAGTTATCATATCGGATCTATGAACACCCCTGTCCAATCAGTGCACAGCTTATAGACTGGACAACGTGCGAAACCTAATGAAGCCCTCTGCCACCAAGACACAGCACAGTAATGGCCAACGTATTTCAGTTGTCTTGACCCCTTTCCTCAGAGACTCAGTGGTGAAGAGTTGTTGGTGTCACCGTATATATGCCTAATATTTCACACCTATTTGTCAGTCTATCTAATATTAAACAATTTGCATACTTCACAAGGCCATTGCACTTGGATTTCAATTTAGTTTTTTAATGTGCTTGATAATTCAGATTTGAGTAAATTTGTGATTTAAATTGAATATGTAATTGTCATAGTCAGTCAGTTCAGTTCCACAGTCTAATGCAATTCTTAGGTTTGAAAAATGTGGGGGTTGCATTGTTAATTTGATATACCGTATTTTCCGGCGTATAAGACGACTTTTCAACCCGTGAAAATCTTTTGAAAAGTCGGGGGTCGTCTTATACGCCGGTATACGGCGAGCCGGTGTCAGGGCGGCACTTTTTTGAGGGGCGGCGCCGTCCCCCCTCCTCCTCCAACGGACACCAAGTACAGGGGGTGGGCAGAGGGGCTGCTGTACCTTACCTGGCTCCGGTCCCGGTCCCACAACGATCCGGTCCAGGAAGCGCGGCTGCTCCTTCTTTCAGTTCGACCGCTCGATGGTCCCGCCGCCCGCTCGGCTCCGCCTCCTCACTGGTGATTGGGCGCCAGCACTAGAAAGGCACACATTCGACCAATCACCGGCGAGGAGGCAGAGCCGAACGGCCCCGCGAAAATCAAGCGGCCGAACTGAAAGAAGGAGCAGCCGCTCCTCTCCCCCACTGACACCAACGATGGGGCACTATTCCTCCTCCCCACTGACACCAACGATGGGGCACTATTCCTCCCCCACTGACACCAATGATGGGGCACTTTTCTCCCCACTGATACCAATGATGGGGCACTATTCCTCCCCCACTGACACCAATGATGGGGCACTATTCCTCCCCCACTGACACCAACGATGGGCCACTATTCCTCCTCCCCACTGACACCAATGATGGGGCACTATTCCTCCTCCCCACTGACACCAACGATGGGGCACTATTCCTCCTCCCCCACTGACACCAATGACGGGGCACTATTCCTCCTCCCCACTGACACCAATGATGGGGCACTATTCCTCCTCCCCACTGACACCAATGATGGGGCACTATTCCTCCTCCCCACTGACACCAATGATGGGGCGCGTTGGAAGAGGGGTAGTCTTATACGGCGAGTATAGCTCAAACCCTATATTTTAACAGGAAAAGTAGGGGGTCGTCTTATACGCCCAGTCGTCTTATACGCCGGCAAATACGGTATATCAAATCCTTCCGAATAGTTTTGATATATGAATATCGAATCCACCCAAAATATCAAAACTGAAAACTAATTTATATCGATCTTATAGCAATCTTGCAAAAAATCTAATTCTGTTTGGTTATTCAGATGCACATGACGCCAGTCAATATTGTCAGCTCATGCCATTTCTAAGAATATCGAATCATTGCATTTCAAATTCAACAATGTATCTAATAAATAGCAATCTTCCGAAAAACTGCAAAATGTTTTGAATCCATAAGATGAATGTCGAAGATACAAAATAAATTCTGGAATTGAATCAGTTCAACAAAACTGATATGTCGAAACAAAATTCTTCAACGAAGAAATGCGTCTCAAATTAAATTAAAATTTCCAGTTTGCACATGCCTACTAAAATATATATCCTTTTTGCACAATAAAGGTAGACAACTTGGCTAGTATGAACACTTTCCATGGACCATAAAAAAGTCAGCATTTATTGATTCACCACCCCTACCCATCCTTGCAGTCTCACTTTCGTGACCAATATGGTGGAAAATTATATTGGGGTTTATTACTTACATATATATGTTAATAAAAGCTATGTATTTCTGTAGGATGAAATCTAACTTTTACGGTGATATCAGTTTTGAACAGTATATTGTAAAACTTTTGATAAGACAGCAGAGAAAAAAAATCAAATTATATGGTATGTTGCATTTGTATGTTCATAATACTGTTGAAAAATATGTTGTTCAATGTTTGTGTGTAATGAACTTACAGGAGAGCAAAATAAAGTGAATTCAACAATCATCTGTGAATTAACTCTTTTACTCACTAAGGATATAATCTGTGGATATTGAAGCTAAGATGAGAGGTCTTAGCAATTTGCATGAAATTGATGTTAACTAGTGACTAAGGCACCTTAGAAGCAATTACTGTGTTTATCAGAATGAGGAACGAAGTAGAGCCACGTCTTCTTTTGTGATTTAGTCTCTAATTAATTGAAGCTTTAAAGCTTGGCACTTCAGAAATTAAGAATGGGAACTGAACGTGATGACTCGTTCCTTTATGTCTTTATGTCTTCCTCTTTTAGTGTCCCAAGGGAGAGACGGCACAAGTATGTGAACTAGTATAGATAGATATATAATCTAGGCAGGTCAGCAAACCTACTCTTGACTTTACATTAAATAAAACTGAAAATTTGGTGTTAATAATATTATTGACCCAGATCCATAGATATGCAGAATTTCTCCAGAAGGATACTGTAGTCATGGAAATATAAAGTCATGGATCTGCCATCATAAAATATGTAACCCATATGCTGTATTTTTGATCCTTTCCCTTTCTCCATGGAGAAGGGAAGGCGTAGCCATGCTCATAGACGTTTCTTTTATTTTAATCCCCCCTCTAACCATTTTTTCAAACCATTTTTTCAAAGGTTTACATTTTAACTCTGGGGTTAACCAATGGCATCAGTTGAAAATGTATATAGGACACACAGAAAAGGAAATTCTCCCTAAAGGGACAGAGAAAGCAGAAAATAATATTAATAATAATAATAATAATCATCATTCTAACCCTGCCACACTGTATTCAAAGCTAATAAAAGTTTGTGCTTTAGATATATTTTAGCTCCATACATTCTGTTTTTATTCACTGATAACATAGTAAAACAGTGTGCTAATTAAATACAATAAATATATATATTTATTTACATGTTATATGCGTAAATATATATGTAAAACCACACCTGTAATGCTTAAAATCCACAGTTTTTGCCTTCTAATATTCCTTTTTTTCACCTAATTGCCATTACTGCCACATGCATTAGAGTTCTTTTCAGAGGGGTTAACACAGGCCGCCAGTGAATGAAGGTCTGATTGTGCTGCTGTCAGCCCTGAATGCCATACTCATTGTAGAGATAGGGCTTCTGAGTGGGGGGAGGATAAGAAAAGCAGGATGGGTCGTCATTAAAAGCATCCAGCAAAACTGATTGGAGTGGAGGGTAATTCAGACCTAAAGTGGCTTTCTATATTTGTGACCACCACCAACCCCCCAAACATCTACCCTTTTTGTTGAATCCTACTCCTCCCCACTGTTACATTCAAGCCCTGCTTTTACCCCAAAAAAGAAATCCTTGGTGATCCGTGAGAGAAGGTTTTCTTTTAGGCATGTAATATTGAGGAATTTTATTCTAGAGTGCTATTGCTTATGTTTATGTGTGGTTAAGCTAGGTTTAAGAACGTGAAAAAAACAAGGTAAGCCCTCAAGCAATGCTTGTGTGTGTTTATTGAAAAGGAAGTGTCAAACACACGCTGGTGGGCATGAATTATTTCCATTCTTTGGCTGCATATAAGTAAAGGGTCTTAAAATATGTTATGCTTTTGACTTTTACAGCAACTTCTTTTTAACACTACACATGCCGGAGAAACATGCAAAGAATACATGCAGTGTACAGAGATGTAGAACAAAGATGAACCAATTACACATTTATACAAATTTATACAATATACAAAGATACCTAAAGTCTTAATTCTTTCCAAGAGTATTTCAATTTGGAAAGTAAGAAAAAAAATTAGTCTGAAGAGAGGACTGCCAAGTTTTATATAGATTTGGTGACAAAACAAGAGTCATGCCTGACACGCACCTACATTTTGCACAAGTTTAAAGCCCAATTTCAGATTTATGTTTCTTTTCTTTCAAATCTTTGGCCAGCACTTTTTAGCTACAAAAAGCAGCTCTTGCTGCAATACTCACCCTGTCTCTAGCGCTATCTCCTGCAAACTCACAGCTTAGCAATATAGCGCCAATTCTCATGCGAACTGAATTATACTCAATGTTCAACACACTTCCTGTGAGCTCAGGGTGTCAAGGACCCACCCGTTAGGGGTAGGTCACAAGCTGCTCTGGGTTCATGGGAGAATAATGTAGAGAACAGGGTTCACATTGAGACCATTGTGCACAGCAGGACCCACCCACCACTGAGGGCAGAAGAGGAGGCAGATATCTTGTGACCTGATATATCACATGACCGAACTGAAGACCCATGGAAAAAATATGGATTGTCATTGATGCAACAAAATAAGTCGGAGATGGGATTCACAGGCTGGAGGGGGGGGGATGGGGAACTGAGGTTTATTTAATACTGCATGTGCGAGTGGCCTTTGTAATATGGAATTGAGCTTATCTTCTTGTGCATAGGACTATAGAACATTGACCTCAACCAATATAAACAAAAAGACTCATATACTGCACAACATGATATCAAAGGTATATGCAGGGGCGGACTGACCATTTGGGAACTCGGGCATCGCCCGAGGGCCCGGGGTCAGTAGGGGGCCCCATGAGATGCCCCTGGTACCTTTAATAGGCTTTTTTGGGTGTGGTTTGAGTGTGGGCAAGGACATAGGGGCCCCATGATCCCCTATTGCCCGGGGGCCCCATGAGTTGTCAGTCCTCCCCTGGGTATATGATAACTTTTTTATGAATATGTAATAATCTTAACCCATAATAACATCTAAAATCCATATAGAGGGATATAGGTTATTTGTCTGTACACCTGAAGTGTTTGGTTACTAGACATGCACACGCCGGAAATTGTTGTTTAGTTTTGGATGCATTCCTTCATTAAAGAATTTTGTTTTCTCACATTTGTTATGTTGAACTGATTCTTTTTTTTTATTTATTTCCTTTATTTGGCATTTGTTTCGTATAGTTGTTGGTCTGGGTGGAATTGAAAACTGTTTCAGTTTTTTTTTTGGAAGTTTGCTATATACTAGTTTTCATTTTTGATATTTTGAGTGGATTTGATATTCATATATCGAAACTATTCTGTAGGGTTCCATATATATCAGACGCAACTGAATAAACAATGCAAAATTTGGCAGCCCTTGAATTTTTCAAACCTGAGAATTGCATTAGACTGTGGAACTGAACTGACTGACTGTGACAGTTTAATATTCAATTTAAATCACAAATGTACTCAAATCTAAATTATCGAACAAATTTGAAAATGTAATTCATTATCCCATGTGCCCAAACTATTGCATCATGTGAATAAAACTATTTGCATTTCTTAATTTCATTATTACTTTTTTCGAATTCGCTGAAATTTATTACTATGTCCATTTGGAGATTCTGAATCTCCTAAAATCACATTTTTTCCCGAAAAATGGTTTGCAATGAAACAAAAAGCATGTGTATTGGTTACATAAACATCTGTTGCAGCTCTTGTTCTACACCCTAAGTGATGCACAGCCTACAGTTGTCGTACTCTTTGAATGTCATTTAATCTTACCTATTTTGCCAGATAAAAAAACAAGCCTGAGAATAATAAGAATCGGTTGATACTTGTGCAATTCAAGCCCAGCTGCAGGCTGACCACAATATTTAAAAAGCCAGCTGACCTGATGAAAAGTGACCTTCAAGGAATATGTCTCATGCTAGCCAGTAGAAAGTATACCAAAACCATTTCATACTATTATATTAGGATGCACTGCAGTACACAGCCCTAAAATTTATGCAGTGAAAAGGGGAACTACAATTAGGCAAACATGTATGTTTATTATTTAGACATTTTTTAAATAAAAAACACATAAAATAGCAGTTCAAAATGGATTTTCAATAGCCAGAATAAACCTAAAATATATTTATGATGATAAACTGCTGGGATGAGCCTGTTTTGACAATACTCTATGTATATGCAAACCCAGAGATAATCACACATTACAAACCACCACCACCCATTATTCTACCGACTCCCCCACTTTCATGGTCACATGGTTTTATGGGCTTTCAGTGCATGTGCAGCTATCTCTACATTAAGAACAAGGGTTTTGTAGACACTTGTACACTGGTAGTGTACTTGTTAAGCGTTGGCTACCAATGCACAGGTAACCCAGTTAAATCTATAAAAGAAGCAGTCATATAAAT